AACAACGAAATAAAAGAATGATAAAAATGAACTAATGAAGTGTTAAGTGCTTTCCAATTTCAATCAAATAAATTCTATATAATGGGATGCTAAAGATGATTAAGCGTTCGTCACTTCAACATATTATCTTCGATGAAAGCACAAATACTCCCCCGTCCCGTAAAGAAGTTCTCATTCAGTTTACGATGCTTGACTGACGATAAAGCAACTTGATCCCTGTTCACACTTGGTTTTTTTTAATAAATAAAATTTACATATTCAGAAACTATATTAAAACCGCTACAAAGTTTGATAAAAAAAAATTTAAATTTGATAAAAATTTGATATAAAAAGTAAAAGATTAGGAGTGATTTAAGTTGACCAATGAATAATGAATGAGAACTTCATTTCGGGACGGAGGTAGTATCAATCTACTACCTCCGTCCCACTAAGATTGGGACATGAGAAGGTGACACGGTTATTAACAAAAATGAGTTTGTGTGGTTGATATTAAATTGATAAAGTAAAAATAAAGTAAGAATGGTTTAGAGCCACAAAAACTTTACCAAATTTGGTATGAGACAATCTTAGTGGGACTTCCTGAAAAGGTAAAATGAGACAATCTCAGCGGGACAGATGGAGTATCATTCTATCCAGCCCAAAAAGCCGTGATGGTTTAAGACTTAGAGCCCGTTTGGTAGCACCAAAATCGGCTGTTTTGGCTGATTCTGCTGAAATTTATGATATTCTGGCTGGAGTGGCTGTTTTGGCTGATTCTGCTGATTTAAGAAAAAAATATTTTAAAAATATATTTTATTAATAAATTAAAGAAAAAATTATATGTAAAAATAGCTAAAATGGTCCTCTACAGTAACTTCAGCCAATACAGCCAGAAAAGTAACTCCAACCTTACTTTTTCGGCTTATTACACAATTCAGCGCGCGAAAGTAAAAATTACGTGTTTGGTGAAAAAGCTGGCTGATAAGCCGAAAACAGAGTTCTCCAAACGGGCTCTTAAGTGGTGATCAAGCCGTCAATGCCACTTTAGGGGGATGAGAAGCCTAAACAAAAAGAAGAAAAACGCTGGAACCGTGGTCGATAACTTAGGAGTAACAAAGTAATTAAACATTGAATAAAGTGGCTATGCATTTCAGCATTTATGGAGAAACTCATATTCATTATCAAGAGATGGTCAACAAATCTTTAGAAAATGAAACTAAAGTAATCTGAAGACTTCCACCTAGAAATCTTGCAGGATAGAGGAAACGAGGATATGATAATGGGTGTGTTTGATCTTTAGCGAATAATGAATGTTGGGTCAAGGGCCCAAGCCGAGGTCCGGCCCATTAACCCCTTCTTACCAGACGCACGTCCAGTTAGAACACAAGGCTAGCCCGCAGGCCCATGTTCCTTGAGGAGGGACGAACGTCTGGGGTTGGGGGTTCAGGCCCAACGGTTCATCTCGACGAACGTCTATGCAGGGACAAGGAGCAGGACCACGGGCCACCAGGGATGACGACGAACGTCTCCAGAGCAAGCCTATAGTCATCGGAGGAAACCCAGTCCACATGGTGAGTATCCATTAAGCCAGGAGACGAACAGCCGGTATCTCTTGAGGGTCACTTGGAGCGATCCAACTCACTTCCCGGGCGGACGAACGTCCCCACTGATTAGGCGGGAAACCTAGATTCTGGCGGGAAGTGCATTTAATGCTGAAGATTTGGTAGTTGGGGCACCAGCGGTCCACAGGCTGCCACGTCAGTATAGCCACCTGCCCATTGGTGGGTATAAATAGAAGCATTTAATTCATTGTAAAGGGTTGACAACTTTCTATTCTTAGCATTCTAGCTTATTTCTCTTGCTCGCAGCTGAGATTACTGCCTAGCGAGACGAACGGCCGACGTGCCTTTTTTAGCAAGTAGATTGTACTTAAGGGAGTTATTACGAAGTTAATAATACCTATTTACATTGCTTACTATATCCTCTGTTTCCTGATCCATCTGATAGTTGTTGGGCTAGATATTCACATATTCATACACTCACTCCACTCGAAATCTTCGGGCTTACGTGTTGGACCTGAGGGTTGAAGGAATAAACCCCAACAATGAATTATGTTAGCATGTTGTTAATAATAGAGGGTTTGAGTGTTTGACTAGCGAAATATGTTATAATAAACAATTAAACTCTATGCTTAACTCCCATAAGGATATAAACATCTAACAATTTAATTTTTAATAAGATATACTCCGTACAAAAAACGCAACTTAATTTTTCTTTCAAAACAGTCTCATGTAATTCTTCAAAAGTATAAGAATATCAATGGATATTCATTTTTTGAAGTAATCCACAAAATTGTTTCTATAATTCTATTTATGAAAATAGTTTTGTCAAGTAAAAAATGTATAGGTATGCATTTATAACCGAAAATGAGCTAATTCATTAACCAACTAGTGTTTTACTCGGGCGTTGCCCCGGGTGCATGTTTTAGAATGTTTCGATGACGTAGGATATGTGCTTTCAAGTATAGTTATGCTATGGTTATATACTTATATTATATCTTAAAAAATCGCTCCTCCAGGTCTAAAAACCCATCATTCTCTACTCTAATATCATCATCTCTTACCTTAACAACTCACTTAGTAAAGTGTTCAATTGTTTGTGTGCTATAACCATTTTGATATGAAGTATGTCATTAGTATCATATTCTTTGTGAGAAGAACTGAGCAGTGATCTCAACGATGTGAAGCGTTAAGCATCGTCACTATAATCGCATCGGCTCTCCCTAACTCCCTTCAAAACGATATACACTCTTTGGCTAAAGTCTCCCCAAAAACAACAATTTCCCCATGCGACTAAGTGTAATGCTCAAAATAGCCAACATGTCTCGATCATTAAAATGGTTGTAATAATTTCAAATTTCCAACTTGAACGGTCCTCTTTAATTAAAGTTGCTACATTCATATCACAAACTCCGATTGGTTTATTCAAAGAAACAAAACCATTACCTTTCACTGAAAGCCACATGCCATTCCAAACATAAATATCTTGTCCATTACCAACTATCCTCCTCGTCCCCTCCCGAATAACACGCTTGGCTTCAAGAATACTTCACTAGATGAAAGAGTGACTACTTCTTAACTTCACGTCCAGAAAGGAATAATTGTGAAAGTGGCAAGATTTAACTCCGGTCAATAGTAAACTGCCATGCTTGTTTTCCCAACATAGCAATATTAAACTTTCTCACCGAACGGAACCCCAACCCACCTTTAGATTTAGGGCTACATAAGGCTTTCCACGACTCAATGCTCATATTTTAAAATATGATATGAAATAAAGTACTCATTAAAATTTTAAAGTTTTGAATAACTTAAGTTCGGTATCTATTTCCTTTTGATAGTTTACATTTGTAGTCATATTCTTTAATTTAATAAAAAACAATTTTCACGTTTGGTTCATCCATTAAATTAAATTAAATTAAATTAAATTTAATAAAAGCCTGGTTAGTTTATTCACGTATAGTTGGCTGTTGGCCCAAACGTATAACTAATGCAAAATATTCTTGTTTATGATTTTTTATGAAAATTCAGAAAAAATCACGTATTTTAAAAATAAAAGGTTAATAGAGTGGTACAGCAAAATGTCTAATTGTCCAATACTATTGATAATGTTTAAAAAATATTATGCCTTATAATAAGTTCGTTACTTTTGTGTTCCACCCATACCAAGGCTCCAAAGTGAAAAGAGTATTACGACGGCTCATCAAACTCAAGGTCACAATAATATCAACCATACTCTAGTAATATCTCTCCACAAATGATAAAAGTCCATAAATTAGACCAATTATGTTTTATTCCTAAAATAGGATCTTTTTTATCCTATTTAAAGTAGGGTTAAATAGGTCTATAACACATATAATTAGGAGTAGTGCAATTAATAACTTATATATATTTTAATAATCTAAGTGTATAGCATTTTATCAACCGTAGGAACACATGTGGAGGGAGATGATTTTCAATAACATCAAATGTAAAGCATATTTTTAGGAGAACTTTTTCCTTTCATATATATTAACCGAATAGGCTATACATTTTATTTATCTAAATTTGTGAGATTTATTAAACTTTATCTATTTAAAGTTGTACATACACTCAAATATTCCTTTTAAGTATATAATTTGTCAATTAGAATTGAACGAGTTTTATTTTAAAAAGAAAATAATGTTGATTCTACTTGTGCACTTTATCTATATAGATTTATAGATTTACACAAATAGGACCAAAACATTGCCATCTTCCAAAAATAAGTTCTAATGTTTAAAATCTCATAATAAGAACTTATTTTTTATGATTGAAAAATACCCTTATAGGGTTGTAGTAGTCCACCACCAGATTGACAATCGCCGAAAGTTTTCTATCGGTCGCCACCACCGCCACCACAGAACTGCCCCGCCACCAACTTTTGTCCTTGTTTATGCAAGGGAACTGAGAGACAATTAGTTATGCTACATATTAATCAATTATATTAGGAGTAGAAATGTAATACTAGTACTATATATTTATTTTTATTAAAGAAAATAAAATATTCAATTCCATTTTTGAGAAATAACTCTGTTTTAGTCTTATTTGATGCACTATTTTAGTTCTAATTAAAAAAAAATATAAATTTGTTACTCACTATGATATATTGCCTGAATCCTGATACGTAAATATCGTCAAGGCTTTAGGGGCATTTCAAATTTAGATTTTAATACTCTGTTTGGGTAAATTAAACTTAAGAAACATACTACAATAAAGAAAACTCATTATTTTACACGTGATTTAACTTTCAAAACCCTCACTCGAGAGTTGAGTTATGTGAGGCTAAACTAAATTTATTAATAACCTAAGTTGTGAAAATAAAAGAAAACAATGTTAACTAAAAATTGAAGTTGCAACAACTTAATTAACTCTCAAACAAACAAATCATAAAGAAAATTTAAAGACTTTCTCAAATATATTAGACCGATTTTCGATTTTGAAGGATTTCTTATACGGACTACAAACTAACGCCCAAAATCATTTTTCATTTTTCACTTTATAATCGATAAAACCCTCCTCAGGTCGCCGACTCTTACCCCATTCAGGATTTCTCTTCATTTTTTCTCCAGGTCGCCACTCCTCCCGGCTCCAGGTATTTCACTCTCAAGGTGTGTTTATTCATGTGGAGCTCTTTAGGCCGGAATACTATAGTAAATTTCTTTTGATTTTATATATTAATTAATAGATATTCTGTACTCTGTATTACGTAGTGTATATTAAGAAATCTGCCTTCTTTCATATATTTTTAATTTTGTAGGCAAAAGAAAACTTTATGCCAAGAGGCTGGGTTGCTGGTCCAAAAAAGTGATCATTATTAGTTCAATTAATCGTGTGAGAGCATGAGCTGTTTACATCCCTTCATTGTCTAGATTAGGATAAATTGCAAAAAGATTGATTTTGTTTGTAAAGTATGATTGAAAAGAACATTTAGTGAATCAGTGACCCCTAAAAAATCATTTCCTAGTTGTACCAGGTCTGCAAAAGACCGTATCTCATCTCCTAAAAAAACAATGAGCGTGGTTTCCAGTAGTAAATTTCATTAACATGCAGCTTTGGTTTTTTATTTGTATAGTTTTTGAATATGCTAACATGATATTAGGGAATGATGAAGGTTTCTTTCTTTGATATCTCACGGAAGGGGAGCCTCGTGAATGTCTAATATGGTGTGGCGTTGGCGTAAAAGTACTACCTCCATATGTATGATGGTTGCCGCCAGGGCTTATCTTTGTCGTGAAGGAGCCTTCAAACTCCAATGGAGACATATGGTATGCTCCGCCATTGATAACTCTTATCAGAACTATCCACCAAAAGGAGAATATCCCCAAGGAGGATATCCGAATCAGCAAAATATTAACCAGAGTATCCACCATCAGTATGGAGGAGGAGGAGGATATCAGAATCAGCGAAGCCCAAACCAAAGTGTCCACCACCACTATGGAGGTGGAGGAGAATATCACAATCAGCAAAATCTGAACAAAAGTGTACACAATCAATATGGAGGCGGAGATGGAAACCAGAGCCAGCAAAATCCAAACCAAAGTATCCGCCATGAATATGTAAGTGGAGGAGGAAATCAAAGTCAGCAAAATCCAAACCAAAGTATCCACTATCAATATGGAGGTGGAGGAGGAAATCAGAGTCAGCATTATCCAAACCAAAGTACCCACGCTCAATATGGAGGTGGAGGAGGAAATCAGAGTCAGCATTATCCAAACCAAGGTACCCGCCCTCAATATGGAGGTGGAGGAGGATATCCAACACAGCAAAATCCAAACCAAAATATCCACCATCAATACAGAGGTGAGAATGGGTGGAATAATCAAATCAGGAATGACATGCCTCACCAGAAGGGTGATGCCCGTGTTGTACCTCAGGAACAATGGAGGCCCCGTGAAGCTCAGAATGTCGAGCCGGCTCCTAGTGATAATACTACTTCTACTGCCAATTTGATGTCATTGTGCAAAGGGGAGGGTGGTGCTAAGGTGAAGGATGCGATTGAATTGATGGAAAAGGGGGCAGTTGCGGATACACAATGTTTTGGATTGCTTTTCGAGTCCTGTGGGAAGTCAAGGAAACTTGAGGATGCAAAGTCAGTGCATGACCACTTTTTGAGATCAAAATGCAGGGGTGATCTCGTCTTGAACAACAAGGTCATTGACATGTACTCTAAGTGTTGGAGCATGATGGATGCACGGAGGGTTTTCGATCACATGCCTGAGAGGAACATAGAAACATGGCATCTGATGATCAACGGTTACGCAATGAACGGGTTGGGCGATGACGGGCTGTCGTTGTATGAGCAGATGAGGACAAATGGGATCCGGCCCAATGACCAAACTTTCCTTGCTGTTTTTGAGGCCTGTGCCAGTGCTGATGCAATTGATGAGGCATTCATACATTTTGACACCATGAAGGCCGAATATGAAATCTCACCCACGATTGAACATTATTTGGGTTTGTTGGGCGTGTTTGCAAAATGCGGCCATCTTGCTGAGGCTGAGGAATTCATCAAGGAACTCCCGTTTGAGCCCACAGCTGATGTTTGGGAAGCTTTGATGAATTATGCTCGGATACATGGAGACATTGACCTTGAAGACCATGCTGAACAGTTGTGGAAGGCTGCTGGGGGTAGTCCCCTTGAGGGGGGTAAGATTGTCCCACCACCTCCAAAGAAGCAGTCGGTCAATATGCTTGAGGGTAAAAGCAGGGTGCTTGAGTTTCGTAGCCCCACACTATACAAGGATGAAGAGAAAATGAGGGCAGCAATGAAAGAGCAGGCATATGTGCCAGACACCAGGTATGTTCTGCATGATATTGATCAAGAGGCAAAGGAGCAGGCATTGCTTTATCACAGTGAGCGCTTGGCGATTGCCTACGGTCTCATAAGCACCCCTGCCAGGACGCCTTTGCGTATCATCAAGAATTTGCGTGTCTGCGGGGATTGTCATAATGCAATCAAGATCATGTCAAGGATTGTTGGGAGAGAGTTGATTGTTAGGGACAACAAACGTTTCCATCACTTCAAGGATGGAAAATGCTCCTGTGGTGACTATTGGTAAGTTATTATTATCACAGCAAGCAAGAGAAATGGGGTGATTGGCCTTTTAACTATTTCAAAGAAACATCTTGAAGGCAGAGCTCTTCGCAAGGATATGCCATCCTTTCGTGTTGAAAGGATGTAGCATACTTCGTATATGATACCAATGACCATGTCAAGTGGCTTGTTCAGAGCGGGATATTGTTAACATCATTTTAGAGTACATGGGGGCGCATGTGTCTTATATATTGCACAGTATTCTCTGTTTTGTTTTTCTGCTGTCGACCTTCTTTAGTTAGTAACGATTTTCACCTGGTGGTTATTTTAAAAAAAAAACAATCCCCCTTTTCATTGGAATGCTTTTGGTTCTGGGGTGAATTGCAGTTTGCTATCTCCCCTCTTCGACGGTTCGACCTTTGACTAAAGATATAAAAGAATATTGCTCTCTTAACGTGTGGAGAATTGCACGTGGCTAATTTTGCTACCATTCTTCAAGTCCATCCTTTTCAACTTTATGGTACTCCGCACTATAAAACTCTCATCCACTGTGTTTTACTCGTACATCTGTGGAGAATTTTTAACTTGGTGGGTGATACATTTGCATTTTTTTTTTATCTCTTTTAAGAAAGATGGAAAGTTTTTCATTTAAGCAACACATCTTACGCCCCAAAATATGCACTTCTACATCCAAACGAGGGATATTTGGATTTTAATCCTCTTGGAGTCTTGGAGTTGAGAACATGAAGAAAAACGATAAACACTACATTCTTAATGAATGCCGTGGGGTTGATGATTACATGACTAATTTTCACCACTCAATGAGTGTCTGTTTAAAATGTGTTACTCGTAGAAACGTCACATAATAATGTCTAATTTTCATATTAGAAACACTTACATAATAATGTCTAATTTTCATAGTAATGTCACATAATAATGTCTAATTTTCACATCAGAACACGTACATTTTAAAAAGCGATATTTGTAAGAGATTAATAAAAAAGTGTTTTACAGTAAAGCGTAAAGTGGTTAGAAATAGAAATTATTTTAATTCATTCATTTCATTTTCATTTACCCCAGTGCCGCAAAGGCTCCGTAAGGGGGGTCGGATGTACGCAGTCTTACCCCTGTACTAAAGCACATAGAGACTGTTTTCGGATGACCCATAATGAAAATCGCGTCCAAAATTGCATGGACTGACTGCTGCTTCATAACAAAGAAGCGCAGACAGTTTAGTGAGCCATTTTGCTTTATTCCATCATATTTTCAAGTAAAAATTGAAGTGTTTTAAAAACAATTTGCAATATGATATTTGAGTAAAGGTACACAATATCCCTTTTGAAAAAATGCTTGAACTTCAACTTGCGCTTTAATGACAGCTTTTCCGATCAGATACTTTGCCTTAGAGAGTGATGGAGAAGACATGGGGTGTAGGCCCGTGTAGCTTGAGCAGATATTTCCTGTTTCTTACTCATTGGCTTGTGTGGTGTCATAGTCTACTGCGCAGTATGATTTTTTGTTATATTTGTGGAGGAATTTTAAATCTGAAACACTAAAACCAATCTAAGGACGTGGAATTGAATTTCTAAATGCCACGGGTTCTAGTAAGCTAAGCATTCTTTGCTGCCAAATAGACATGGTCTCAGTTTCAGGACTGGTTCAGAACTGAATCCGAATCGCTAGAGGCGGTTCGTTCAGGAGACCGGCTAGAGGGCGATCCTAAGGGAACCAATTCAGGTGGCAACAAAATTCCCTCTGATTGTTGGATTATAATCAATCCCTGGTATGTCAAGTAGTAGCTCAGGCAAGCGCAAGCCAATCAACTAGTTTGGCAAGTTAAAATCTTGTGTCTAAATGCATATTATAATAACCATGTATACCTTTCACAAAAGTTATCGTTAATGGTTAATTAAAACATAAAAAAAATATACTAATTGCGTATTATTGCTATTATTAAACTTAGATTATATATGATATTCCAAATGTGGTTATGCTCATATTTATTTTTTTAAAAATGTAGGTGACATATTTTAATATTTATTCTTGAAAGTCAATCATGTCAAAAATTATTTTCTAGATTCAAAAATAATTGTCAATAACATTTTTATTCAAATAGGACTAAAATTTTAGAATATGATGCATATGTTCTCAAGGTTTACTAAGCATTAAAATCATTTGATTATTATGGAAATTAAATACCATTCATTTTTAATTTATATATTTATTACACTACAATTTAATAAACGTTGACCGGATTGACCCGCCAGTCTAAGTATTGAAAATTGTGAAAAATAAAAACCTTTTATTTTATATTTATATATTTATTACACTACAATTTTATAAACGTTGACCAAATTGACCTGTCGGTTCTCGGTCGAGTTCTTATAAAATAGACCGAGACCGGCCGGTCCCAATTAGTCCAATTTTTTACATTTCAACCATTGTCAGCATTCTAAACTCTAGTAAATGAGTATATCCATTTAGAACCTGAAAAGGGTGGTAGGGGTGCGGGCATATGGCGGGGGTCTAAAAATTAAAAATTAAAAGAGCGGACCTGGTCGGAACCAAAAATAGATGTCTCGGCCCCAATTCTCCTACTCTACCTCCCTAGGGCTGGCTGGTCCGGAACCAGACTGGGTTCACCCCTATTGACAAGGAATTTGAACCAGACTGGGTTCACCCCTATTGACAAGGAATTTTGAATTGAAGTGTGTGATGGGGTGTATTAGTGTGAGATTGTTTTGATTTGGATTTTGAGGGTTTGTTCATGCTCACCGGAACTTGACCGATACCGCTCTGGAGAAGATGGCTGGAAGCCGGACTGAGGCTTCTCCATTGCCGAAAGGTTCAGCTCACCGATCTTTCTTATGTGTTTACCCGAAAACTTGGCCGGTGCTGAAACTTGATTGATATCTCGTCAGGGATGACGAGTGAAATCTAGGGCTGTGGCTTATCCAAAACACGCTGGAATATGCTGAAGAAGTTGGCTGGACATGGCGGCAGTTATGGAAATGCTCTGCCAACGAGATTTTTTTTATGTGTATAAAAGTCTCCTCAAAGTTGGGATTTAGAAAAAGTTCAGATATAAAAGTCTCCTCAAAGTTCAACTTATAAAAAAGTAAAAGGAGAAAAAATTGATGTTTTCGACTTTTGACTTACAAGCACTTGAATTTAAGCTGAAGTTTGCATTTACAGACACCTTTTTTAACTTTTTTTTAACTAAAAAGCTGAGAAGGGCTTCAGTAAGTAATAACAAACATAATCTAAATAAGTTGCTTCAGAAGTCGGAACCTTGGGTGGAAGTGATGTGCTTTTGACGACCTTTTCAGTATTTATCAATTGGTGTGGACTGTGGACCTCGCCCGTTAGGTGCTGAGATGGTAAATTGTTCCCTAAAAATGTAAAATACTGAATTCACATTCCTTCAATAATTGCTTCTGCAGCTGAGTTTTTATGAAATGGTTAATGCTAATAAAGAATCAAGATAATAAATAAAGCAGTCAGTGGGTTGTGTAGCTCCGGACTCCATGGCAACAAGAACTTCAAGACAGTGTCACATGCAATTCCTCTCCAACTATAGAAAATATTTCATTAATCCTGAAATTAACATGACAGTGCAGAGACAATTAGGTCTATGCTAAGGACCACATTTTAAAGATATGGACATTGAAGAAACCCGAAAGCCATGGTTTGCATCAAAGACCCCAGTTATGGGTTCCTATATTGAACCAACTCTTGAAGCTTAAAAGGCTATATGCTAACCAGTAACCACGTCATATGAAAAGTTGGCACCAAATCTTTGCTAAAACTACTACCTCTGTCCCAATTTGTTATCCTTGTTTCACATTATGAGGTTTGAAACATTAAGATCAACTTCCCCTGAAAATACTTCAATTGGAACTTTTACAAAACTACACAAAGAGTTCTACTGAACCGCAGAATGAATTCAAATACAGTAAAACTTTGATACACAAAATCAGAAAATAACCACAAAAGTTGACCACACTAAATGACAAAAAAAGAAAGAAAGAGGAAGTGTTTTATTTACCTAAACCTATCGAGTTTCACTTCTTCAAGCCATGTTGTTGTGTATACCTGCAGTAAGAAAACAAAATGGTATTACGTAGTAATAGCTTCTCCAGAGTATCAGAAGTGAATACATAGCATCAACCAGCACGTAACAAGAACCCCACCTTCAGGTATCCATACGACCCCTAGTTTACTTTATAGCACAAGGAGATAAGCCGCAATGAGAGCTTATGTAGAGCTCGATAAGCCGCAATGGGAACATGATGTAACATGTCGTAATTAAATGCACATGTCATGTATATTTAGACAACAAAATTAACTACATGAGTACATTACATCTTGATATGATTCATAAAATAAAGCTTTAGCTCTAAGCGAAATCATTTTAGTTTGGCTAAAGGGTCAAATAGGTCCTCAAACTAACTTAAAAAGTGCAAATCACCCCTTGTATAGGAGGTTCTGTCATGCCATCACCATTTGGGGCGGTTCCCAGTGGAATTTTTTGATGATTTTTTTGAGCATCTTCTTCATTAAGTCTAGTTTACCCATACCAAATTTCAGATAAAAATTCAACCGGGAAGATAGTCAAATGATTTTGTGAAATGTACTACGCTGTTTAACTGCGCAGATATCTTCAAAAATTCATTTGACTGTTTTCCCAATTGAATTTTTAGCTGAAATTTGGTATGAGTAAACTGGACTTAATGAAGAAGATGCTCAAAAATTTCATCACAAAATTCCACCGGGAACCGCCCCAAATGGCGGCGGCCGGAGACCTAAGGGGTGATTTGCAATTTTTAAGTTAGTTCGAAGACCTATTTGACCCTTTAGCCTTTTAGTTTTATTTAGCCGAGAAAGTCGGATTGGATTCAAATCACTCTGTATTCAGAAGTAAGTAAAGAGCAAATAAACATATGTTGAAGGCCTATAGCACAAAGTCACAAACTTATGTACTCCACATTAGTTATCTCCACCTTGTCAAATGATAACTACATATTGTTTCCCTATGAAAGAAAAAATGGCTATTTTACCTGAACCTAATCCATAGAAAAGGTAATTACACAATGGTTTCAAACAAGATATGAATATAGGAGTAAATCCACCAGTACCTGGAGAACATTACTCTCGGCTTGATCACGGGGTGAATTTGTAGGTATACTTGATTTGCAATTTCTTTGACCCAGGAAAATTGGTTCATTGGAATACAAATCGCATATAATGAGATCACCAAACTCCCCTAGATACAACTCTTCTGACCAATGAATGCTGTCTTCTTTGTCACCAATGGAGCAAAATTCCATCACAAGTAACCGCTGCATGCCATATTAAACTTTAATGCAAACAAATTGAGGAAAAAAAAAGGCAAGCCAAAGTGTCAAATAATTGAAGGCTAGATTTAATAGGTACCTTTAAATTCATTTCAGATTTTAACATTTGAACCAACTCTTCTGCCAGTTGCTCTGAAAATTATTAAAAATGTCAGTTTGTACAATCAAGAACCATCTCTTTGAATATACAGTAAGAATTCTGCTTGTGGGGTATTTATGTACACACACAATTGATGTGTAAGATAGGCATTTATTGTAATAAAAAAGTTGTCCTCACTATCTTCCATTCAATTGCAAAAGTCAATTTTTTTATACTAAAAACAACATTAATGATTAAAAAACTGATCGTATATACGTAGTATTATATAGACTTCTAATTTTATACTTTTCAATAAGAATAGATCCAGATCGAGCAAAAGAGATGTATACCAAAAGAAGATATTGACAAAAAGGAGAATACGGGAACTCCACCACCATCACCACCATTGTCAATCTGATGATAATCATCAGCAGCAGGGTTGCAAGAAAACTGTACATTTGGGCTGTTGCCCATCCCTTTGACATAACACCTCATAGATCTAGAAGCCTTGACCATCTGAGTTACGATGCCGACCTACATAAATAAATTAACTTACAATTCAATTACTCAAGAACATATTTGTTCTTGCAATTAATCATAATAACACAAATTCGGAGAAAAGGATGTCAAATTTAATAAAACTACTTTAATATAGGTAATATGTGAAACAACCCCTTTGATCTGTATGGCCTTCTCCAGATATTTAATCATTCTTAACTCGTGAAAAATTTAATGCATTTCTAATCTAAAATTGCTTGTAAAGCCAAAAAATAAACATTAAGATTAGTAGATTTCTAAAAGTTTACTTCTTTTCAGTTTCTTCTTCAGAATAAATGGTTTTCACCTCCAAACGACTAGTTTTAGGATCTCAAGGACTCCTAAGCTACTGATGAAGAAATAGTTTATATTCACTAGATTCTGACAAATCGGCATTCTTTGCATCAAACAGCATAAAAAGGGCAGCCCAGCGCACATGGGCGTCCTTGTGGGGGTTCATCAAATAGCATAAGAAAAAAAATCAATAGCAACATCTCTAACTGTAGTAAAAAGGCAAATCAACCTTGGTAAACTATCAGATTTATCGAAAAAACAGCCATAAAGTTTACCATGTTCTGCGTACATACCATACTTTTGTATGTCAACAAGAGCTGACCCCTATTGATCACCTAAAGAGTAGAAATAGAAAGAGATTTGAGAAAAATAAAAATGCAAAATAAAACAATTTAGTTGAAACAGATTTATAGATTCTACTCCTGTGTGGCAAATTCATAATCACCTGCTGCTTGTGTAACTTGTGGCATGCTTTCTTTTGTAATTCTGGCATGTCACTCAAAACTCCAAATTCCATTGCCTCCATGTACCTATGCAGAAATGGCGCTTTACATTTACAATCAATTTCAGAGTTCAGACTCAATATGGACACACATGCTAGCCTGTTCTTCTTGAGGGTCTAAGTACCGGTATTTATACCAACAAACTCATTTAGCTTATATTCTCATAGACAAAAAATTGAAGTCTAAATAAAGACTAAAACAAATATGTGGAACTGCATTTGATATGCAGTGAATAGAAAAGGTGGGATTTTTATTTCCTCCTATTGTGCTTTTTTACCTCTGCGAGAGATAAGAGTTTACTAGAGAAGAGGCGTGGGAGTGAGCAGTATAGGAGGAAGAGAGCCAGTCGTTCCATAGAGAAACCAATTTCAACCACTGGTTTTTGAGATTCCTCTGAGCGGCCGGTCTCCACTGACGCAATATTTGGGAGGACGGTGGCGTCACCGGCGGCGGTGCTGGAGATTTTGCGGCTGGGATTTGGAGGTTGAGGTCCATGGGCTCATTCTTGTATTCCATTCTCACTCCCTTGAAATTCTGGCATAACCGCATAATCACCCAATTCCACCCCAAACAAACTCATGTCATTCACCCGTCCAGCTAACCTAAAAAAAAACTGTAAGTTTAGCTGTGTCTCCTTCGATAGTGGGAGACCGGTTCAAACGGTTCGATTTCTACTTAAAACCAAATGCGGAACTAAAGTAAAAAGTTCGGTTTGATTTTATGATGAAAACTTTAGAATCATGGTTTGTTCGATTCGGTGCCGGTTTTTTCAATTTTTGCCAAGATATTTTAGTTTATTAAAAAATAGTAATTTTAATATGTAGTTGGGGTGCAAAAAAACAAAGACTTTTAAAAAGAGGTTTGTGATACAAAAAATACCCCATATTATGTAGTTGGGGTGCAAAAACATATGTTGGCCCCCATGTTTATAGCTAAAAAATGATTTGCCAAAAAAGTTTGGAGTGTAGATGGGGTGCAAAAACACCCCCATTGAAAGTTTGGAGTGTAGATGGGGTGCAAAAACACCCCCGTTGTTTATAGCTAAAAAGGAGAAAATTGTCAAATACACCCTCGAAGTGTGAGATAAGTCGATTAAGCCCTCAAACTTAATAAACACTCAATTGAACCCTTGGACTTTAAAAAAGCATTCAAATATGTACTTTAACCTGAAATATCGTGTTTACCGGTTAAAAGATCCACCTAGAATTTCTCCTTTCTTTTACGGAGTATTTTTTCTTTTCTTCTCTATCTTCCTGCTTCGGAGTACGTATATGGTACATCGTGGTTTTTTATAGCAAATTCGGTGACATTTTTGTAATTAATGTGAAAATCGTGGTTTTTGCTAAATGAGCATTAGTGTGTTAATAAGCAATAGTCCAATTTTAATGAGTATTAAGCGTCTAATAATGAGCACCGTGTTATTACAAGATATCTGATATCACAACTAAAAAACGGTGGCATTTTCGTAATTTCTGTGAAAATCTCGATTTCGTTAGATGAGCATTACCACTAGTGCTGTTATGGAAATCGAGCTCAGCTCGAGCTCGGCTCGACTCGGCTCGATTAAACTCGGGCTCGGCTCGTATATTAGAGAAAACGAGTCGAGTTCGAACTCTTTTGTTTACTCGATAAAGTTCACGAGCCGAGCTGGCTTGACTCGATAATACCCGGTGAAGCTCGATAGGGCTCGTGAGTTGGGCATTTTGTCATGGGTTTTTCGAGTATGATGATATTGTAGTTAATACATGGGGTTTTCGAGTTCGAGTTGTCGAGCTCGAGCTCGAGTAGCTTGACTCGGGTATATTAACGAGTCGAGCTCGAGTTGTAAATTACTTTAACGAGCCGAGTTCGAGCTCAAATACAGAATCGAAATTTAACGAGCCGAGCTCGAGCCAGGCTCGAAATTTGAGCGAGTCGAGCTCGAATGTGTGATACTCGGGCTCGGCTCGGCTCGAATAACAGCACTAATTACCACATGTTTAATGAGCATCAGACGTAATCTACTGAGCATTAAGAGTCGAATGAGTATTGTGATATCATCTTCATAGAGAAATTTGTTGATTTAGACCCGTAACTTATAGCTATATCGGATATCGGTCCTGTAACTTTAGTAACTTGCAAATTACATCCTGTAACTAATAAGTTGGTGCAATTTTGGTCCTTCTCGACCGGAACTTACTAATTTTGCTGGAAAAAGACACATCACCTGTCAGATGGTATATTATTTGGAACTCATTTGCGGACTCAACATTGGCCCATAGGTGGGTCCGCCCATTCAAAAAATCTGCAACCTCTTCCTCTTTTGAATTGAGTCTTAGAATTAAGCAATTCCGGAATTATCATCGTTGAATGATGACACATAGGTGGGTCCGACCATTAAAAAAATCTGCAACCTTCTGTCTGCATCAAAATAATATGAAACTTAGCTTACTTTACTTCTTTGAACACAAAAATACATGATCAAATGCCCCCAACAAATAGAAGATGGTACTTTTATTAGCAGAACCTAGCTTAAAATTTAAATACATTTTAATTTTCAAACACGTTTATTATACGAATGTTATTCTTAAATTTCTAGTTTATTTAGTAAAATTAGAAGCAAACAAACTAAATTAAAAAGCTGAACTTCTTATTCTGCTTATAGCGCACACACGAAACCTCCTTCTTGGATTGTTCAGTCCAAGAAATTAGAAGAGAAACCTTTTTACAACAATCACACTCCACAAACTATTGTCTGATCGAGAGCTGTTACTAGCAAATTTGAAGAATAATTCACTCTCTCGACTTAGTTCAGGAGAAATCTCTGGATAGGGTTATGTGCTATTTCCCCCTTTTGCATATCCGATAATAGACTTGGTATGGTTGTGCGCACACTCAACGAAGAGCTTTCATACTATCGTTTTTTAACTTCAGCTAAGGGCCAATGTTGAGTCAGCAAACGAGTTCCAAATAATATACCATCTGGCAGGTGATGTGTCTTTTTCCGGTGAAATTGGTAAGTTCCGGTAGAGAAGGACCAAAATTGCACCAACTTGTTAGTTACGGGATGTAATCTGCAAGTTACTAAAGTTACAGGACCGATATCGGGTATAGCTATAAGTTACGGGACTAAATCAACAAATTTCTCCATCTTCATATATTGTAATTCACTTTCTTTTTCTTATTTTTTCTTTTATAAAAAATCCTCAAATTATATCTATAATCAACTTTTATAAACTTCAATATGCAAATTTAGGCTTTGTTTGCAAGTGCTTGTGTTTAAAAAAAACACTTTTTTTGGAAAAAGTGATTAGTAGAAAAATTTGATAGTTGGTAAAATAAGTGCTTTTAGTGTAATAGAAAAAGTAAAAAGTAGATTCTACACGAAAACCGAGAAAAGTAAAAGTTGGCAGTGTTTGGTAAAATAAGTGTTTTTTAAGCCAAAAGTTGAGAAGTGCTTTTTTTAATGGTTTGCAAACAAAGCCTTAGTGGCCGTTTGACAACACTGTTTTTCGGCTTACCAGGCTTATCAGCCAACTTTTTCTCCAAACACGTAATTTTTGCTTACGCGCGCTGAATTGTGTAATATACAGAAAAAGTAAGGTTGAAGTTACTTTTCTGGTTATATTGGCTGAAGTTATTGTAGATGACAATTTTAGCCATTTTTACATATAATTTTTTCTTTATTTTATTTATTAATAAAATATATTTTTAATTTTTTTTCTTAAATCAGCAGAATCAGCCAATGCAACCACTTCAGCCAGAACTTCATAAATTTCAGCAGAATCAGCCAAAACAGCCGATTTTGATGCTACCAAATGGGCTCTTAATTAATGTTGTATGGTACTATATTGAAATATGCATTGATATGCCATTTTAAAAATGAGCATACTATCAGTATCAAATGAGCATATACAACTTTCAAAATGCGCATAATATGAAAATCTTAAGGTTTGTTAGTTGGACGTCATGATATTTTCATTGAGCATCAAACCTTCTATATTGAGTTGAAAATAATGGTTTATGTTAAATGAGCATTAATGAACTTTTAATTAGCACTAGACCTATTATGTTGATTATTAGGAGTCTAATATTGAGCATTATAATCTCTGTTTCATATATTATAATTCACTTTTTTTTTTCTTTTATAGAAACTTATTAAATTATATCTATAATCAAAACATTTGCACTTCAATATGTGAATCTAATGTAATATGATACTTTTGAAATATTCATTGATATGGTAGTTTCAAAATTAGCATAACATCAGTACCAATTGAACAAATGTAACATATAAAATGAGCATTGATATGAAAGTCATACTACCTCCGTCCCTTTTTATTTAGCCAAAGTTGACTTTTCCGGTCAAAGGTAATAAACTTTGATCCATTATTTTAACTAATATATTTATGTGAAACTTAATAAATTTATACTTTTATGATAGTATTTTTAACAAAGAACATTTTCATATAATTTTCATATTCTCAATATTCCCATGAATACATATAAAGTCGGTCAAAGTTGAACAACTTTGACTTGAAGAATAGTATTTGACTAAATAAAAAGGGACGGAGGGAGTAAGTTTTTTAGTTGACCATACAGACATTTTAATTGAGTATTCAATCTTCTCGATTGAATATTAGAACCATGTGGTTGAGCATCACGATTTGTGCTCCTGGGTTTATAATGAGCAGAACACCGGTACCAAATGAGCGTACACAACTTACAAAATGAGTATCGAAAAACAACCAAGATCTCATTTGTGCATACACATTCATTTTAGGAGTTATACTCATTTGAGTTTAACATAAAATTCATTTGTGTATATGATGAAGTGGCTGCGGGAAATAGGAAAGCCGACGTGATGAAATCCATTAGTGTCTTCCCCAATGACTCTGACAACATACACACAAAATTGAATGAGTAGAGTTCAGAATTCATACAAGTGGACATTAATCATATCGAAATTCAATTATTTGGAGATGAATTCATAGAAGTGGAAATTTGATGGTTAATTGTGATTTGATTGCTTGAGGTTTTTTTTTTTTAACGTGAGATGGTTTTTATTGTGATGTGATTTGATTGCTTGGTTGCTTGTGAAATTAAAGAAGCAGTAAGAGACGAGGATAGAGCAACGATTCCAACGAAGAAGAGAACTGAGCGAGCGAGAGGCATATTCGCCGGAATGTGGAAGAGTCTAGGACAGAGCAACGAATTTGGTTGTGGTGAATTGCACCTGTACAGTATAATTCACCCTTATTTTCTTCGTTAGACTAATTTATTTCTCCACAACGTACCTTTCTTCTTCCGTAGTTCCGCGTCACCTGGGACATCAAACCATTCATTTGTTTTCTTTTTTCCTTTTTTTCTTTCATTTGCTTCCCCATGTGCTTTCTTCCGGAGAACGTAACTCCCCCCAATGAATTCCTTGTTGCCGCGACTGTCGAGGGCCGACGCTATCATCTCATCATTTCCAGTGGACTCCTTATTACAATCATGTTCTTGTAATTCGCACCCCCCGGTTTTCAATCCTGGTAGTCGAGATGCATCTATATATTTGAATTGGCGGCATGGAGCCATGGAGGTCTGGCCGTCAAGTGACTGGTTACTAACGATGAGTCAAATGACCACGGAGTTCGATCGTATGTGAACGGCGGCGGCTGTTGGTGAAGTTAGAGATGGCTGGTACGGTGAAGGTGGCGCACATTGACTGAACCTCCGGTACGTTGACTCCGCTGTTTAGACGACCGGTGAAGATCACCCGCTACCACTTGTTGAAGTCCGAGATTATTATAGGGCCTGAGTGGGTGGAAGAATATAGCATATCGAGAAGAAAGGGAAAATGAAAGAGAAAGCAAAATGAAGAAAAAATGGCTAGTTTGATGAGTGCATGTGTGGTACGCGATGTTGAAGATTGAAGAAGAAGGGTGGGCAGAACGGGTTGGGGCCTGGAGGAAGGAGAAGGAAAACAAAGTAGAAAAAGAAAATGGATAATCGATCCACGTGGCTTTCTTAACCGGATACATACCTGCAGCTAGATATCACATTTGAATGTTTTTCATAGTTTAGGGGTTCAATTGGGCATTTATTAAGGGTCTGTTTGCAACAGCTTCTGCTTTTAAAAAGTGCTTTTTTTTTAATGAAATGGGGAGAAGTGATTAAATAAAAGTTGATAGTGTTTGAGAAAAAAGTGATTTTGAAAAGTAAAAGTGGGTAGTGTTTGGTAAAATAAGTGCTTTTTGTGTAATAGAAAAAGTAAAAGCACTTTTGACGCGGAAGCCGAGAAAAATAAAAGTTGTAGTGTTTGGGAAAATAAGTGCTTTTTTAAAGCCAAAAGCTGAGAAGTGCTTTTTTAAAAGCAGTTGCAAACCAACCCTAAGTTTGAGGTCTTAATTGACTTTTCTAAAAAAACGATTTGCCAAATCACAAAAAATGATTTGCTATTAGGGCTGGGTCCGAAAAAGCGAAAACCGAAAACCGAATCAAATTATACCGAACCGTAGCCAGATAAAACCGAACCACTAACAAACCGAAACCGAATGTAAAAAACCGAAACGAACCGAACCGAACAAACCGAACTAATTAAAATATAAAATTTATTTGTCAATTGTTAAGCATTAATCCTAACTAATCCTAATATCATTAATAGTCTTTGGTTTTCTTGTACTAGAGAAATAATGTTTGTGTTGTGTTTAATTTAGTTTATAAATTCATTTACACATTCATTGTGTGTAATAATGTAGCTATATTGAATGATGATAATGTGTTTTTACTAGTTATTAGTATATATTCATGAACTTTTTTTGAACTAGTCACGAACAATGTAAATTAAGAATATATATATTTTTATCTCTCTCTCATACTCATATAATTCAAGACATATTTATTTATTTTCATTTTTATTTATTGTGCTTGCATTCTTTATGTAATATGTTTGATCCCTCAAAATATTATATCAATTTTAAATCAAATGATAATTTTTTGGTAAGAACCCGAAAAAACCGAAACAAACCGAACCAATCAAACCGTGTTTCCAAGTTTCGGAGTGTGAAACCGAAACCGAACCAAACTTTTTACTTTGATTCTATATTTGATTTTAGCTCAAAAACCAACCGCAAGAACGGAACACACTCCTATTTACTATAATTCTTTTTTTCAGTTTCTTGCGTTTTAAAATCGCCATATTTCCAAAAATTTTAAGGAGCATGTTACAGGCTCCTTATTGAGCACGTATATGATATCGCCCAATTATTATTAACAGAAAAGAAAACTAATTAAAAATTGCCCATAAAGGGAGTACGGGATACACATCTCAACATGATTTCAAAATTGTTTTTTATTCATCTTTTTTTTTTCTGAAATCATTAATTAATTAAAATGATTAATTTCCATGTTTGCACATATTTCTTACAACAATTCTAATAAATTTAATGTGTAAATTACATATATTTTTTTATTATTAATTGCCCTTAATCTTCCCTATAGAGATATGTAATTTAAGGACAATTATTAACCGCAATTTGTAATTAGCTTTCTTTGCAACACATATGTTAAAAAAATTAATGCTTTTTGTACATTGCAACACATATGTTAACACTTTTCTAAAAGAATCTTGAACATAAATTCCTTTTAGTAACATTGAAATCGGTTGAATATGCTGAAATTTATGATATCCGGCAGAAGTGGCTGAATTGACTGATTTTGTTGATTTATAAAAAACTATATTTAAAATATTTTTTATTACGATAGTATTAAATTAAAGAAACAATTTTATGAAAAAATAGCTAAAGTAATCTTGATAATAACTTCAGCCAATACAGCTAGAAAAATAACTTCACCCTTACCTTTTCTTATTACTACCTCCGTCCCATTTTATGTGTCTTAGTTTGACTTGACACGGTTATTAATGAAGTGATTGAAAAAGTAAAAGTTGTAGTTGAGGTCTGAGTATAATAAAGTGAAATAGTGTAGACCACATTTTTCTTTTTAGAAAAGGAAAGGAGACACTTATTTTTGGACAACCCAAAAAGGAAAGTAGGACACACTTATTTTGGGACAACCCAAAAAGGAAAGTAGGACATGTAAAATGGGACGGAGGGAGTATTACACAATTTAGGGTACGAAATCAAAAGTTACATGTTTGATGAAAGAGTTGACTGATAAGCCAAAAACAAGGGTCACCAAACGGCCTCATACAGTATAGTTTTGAAATGATATGTTATACTAACGATACTAAATTGTGATATAAAAACAATAAAAGGGCCGGAGAATTGGACACAAGGAGATATTTTTTCCAATTTTAAATTTATAATTTATTTTTGGTGTTTTGAAATTTCTGTTATCTATTTAAATTTAATAAGGGTAAATTTGCACCTTTTATAGAAACATGAGAGGTACTTTTGCACCTTTTAGATGTTTAGAGGTATATATGCACTTTAATATAAATTTCAGTGGTATATTTGTTCCAAAAAATAAAACAATGATATATTTGTTCACACAGTCATACTACAAGGGTATATTTGTACGTTTTCGCTTAATTAAATTAATTAATTGTTTCCCCAATTCCCTTGGTTAATCGAGTCAGTCCGTTTTTGCTGAGGCAGACCGGCGATCATAAAGGTGGCGACGAAGCTCCAACGACTGACGACGGTGGCAGGTAGAATGGAGAAATAAATTATGGGACTTTTTTACACTGTCAGAGCTATGACGATCGACGGTGGCAATTCGGCGGCGGCAGGTTGCACTAGGCGGCAATGTGCTGATAATGGTAATGTAAATATGTATAAATGTATAATAGATGTTTATATATTTAATACGCAGTACAGAGTGTATAATATGATATGATGATACTTTGACATTTTTGTACGGAGAAGATTGAGTAAAAGTACATACTCTCTCCGCCTTGTTGAGGGGTTCCCATGGATAAATGATACGATTTTTTAGCCAAGTAGTTAAACAAAGTAATTTGGGTAAAATATTTTATTTTTGTGTATGGTAAAAATATTTTATTTTTGTAATAATTATGTGTAAACTTTGAAATTAACCATTTTAATTAATGATTGATACAAGATATAATAAAAAGAATAAGGGTTTGTTTGCAACTGCTTTTAAAAAAAGCACTTCTCAGCTTTTGGATTTAAAAAAGCACTTATTTTTCCAAACACTACAACTTTTATTTTTCTCGGCTTTCGCGTCAAAAGTGCTTTTACTTTTTCTATTACACAAAAAGCACTTATTTTACCAAACACTACCCACTTTTACTTTTCAAAATCACTTTTTTCTCAAACACTATCAACTTTTATTTAATCACTTCTCCCCATTTCATTAAAAAAACACTTTTTCAAAAGTAGAAGCTGTTGCAAAAAGACCCTAAAAATTTATGAATCATGTTTGTTGAGATCGATGCATACTTTTAAATTGTGTAACTAATTTTATATTTTTACTTCTTTGTGAAGAAAAAAAAAATACTTCTTTGTGAAGAAGAGTAAAATCTTGTTTTGGAAAGAAGAATAACCCCAATGGCCCAATAACATAGTGATCATTTACGGAGTCCCCCAGGATTTGTTTTTCGCTTATGTCCAGTCCACTATGGGGTGTTTTTCGCTTATGTCCAGTGACTCCAGTCCACTATGGGGCGTACGTGCTCAATAACGAGCACGCCACATGCTCCTTAAAATTTCTGCCATATTTCCCCGTTCTTTTTTCACTCTCTCGTGTCGAGTTCGTACTATTTACCCTTTTCTCTCTTTCTCGTCTTCTATGTATCTAGCCTGCTAGAAGTTAGAAGAGAGTCAAGAGACCCCCTTCGTAATTTGAAACGCCTCAAAGTAGCAACTTTCCTCTCTTCAACGGTTAAAATGCATCACAGCAGTTTAGCTCGGGTATGTACAATCTTCAGCCGTCTTGATGCATTCTGGCGCTTATGTGCATAGCTATCTGCTTCAGAAGAATTTTCTCAAATACATATTCAATTATTATCCCGTTTTCTTCTTCAGTTCCAATGCAGTCCTTGCTATTATGGGAACCCGCATGGTTCTTGGAGTATGAAAAGGAACTCTTTTATTGGAAATTTTGCCAATAAACATGGAAAAAGTTCCTGAAAGATAATGGGGCCATGGGGGTACTGCTCCACAGACCACAGTCATGCCACACTAATTTGGGAACATTTTTTTTTTGAATTTACCAACTAGGTTTTGCACTTATGCCAAGCAATAGAGATTCCAAGAACTTGAAAAATGCAGCTTTTTTATTTTCTTTAGAGGGTTTTGCAGTTTTTTTTTACCAAAAACAATGTTGGCTAACAATTTTTTCCCATTCCTCTATATAGTCATTTTGCACAAAATAAGTATTCAAACAACTTGCGTTTCCATGCCCAGCAGGTACTTGCGGCCTAATCACCATAAGCCTTCCCCTAGGAGAAGAGCGAAAGACTGAAGATGAGTGGATTTTTTCATACGGCATGGGCGCACTTCTGTAAACTAATAGTGGTACTGTGCTTTTATAACAACAGTGCTGGCATTAATAGTTGTGAGTATAATATCGATTCTGATTCTTTGTATGAATCAGAATTGGAGCATTGTGTTGTATGAGAGGTTGATTATTATTTTCAGTGTTTGACATTGATTTTGTGGTACAAAATGGAGATTCACTTTAATTTGATTGTTTGGTTAACATGCTGTTTGAAAATTGAAACCGATACTTGTACAAAACGACCAAATGGGTATAGTAAGTATACAAATACAGTTATATGATAGAGGGTGTTCTGGAAACATTTTACAGAAGTATTTCCAACCAGCAATTCCAAATCTGACTCTAAGTGCTCCTTGGAAGTGATTCTAAAATCTAGAGTACTTGCCAAAAGCCCCAAAAGCTTAACTAGTTAGATGCTCATTCAGATCCAAACACACCTCTGAAATTTAAATGTAATCTTAGTGGTGCCATAATAATGCAAGCAGCATGCCTGTACAGGTTTCAAGGCCTGTTGAGAATTCGTTGCTAGATGGAGCTAAAGCAGTTGCAGCCCGAGTCTCAATAATAAAAGATAAGGATGGTAGGAGAATGAAGGCTTGCTGTCCTGTTTGTTTAATGGCTATCTCCGTGGACCACACCCTACAAGCTTCTGATCTGAGAATGTCACTGGCTATACACTTACGTTTATATCACCCCGATGATATAAACTTAATTTGGGAGGTTATGCACAATAGGCGAGACTCTTCTGTACACATGCCCTCGTTCTTCCTTGGTGTTGGCATGGCTGCTGGAGTTGGAGCCCTCAGTCTCTTGACAAAAAACCGGGTCAGACCATCTCATAATAAAAGGTAAAAGGGCAGAACATCGATTACAGTGTGCTGTTGATTACAGTGTGCTGCTTGGAAGTGATAGAGAAGGCTAAGAATGTTCTGTAGATGTGAATGTTTATGTATGTTTTATTTATATTGTTCAATTTTATTCATTATGAATTCGCTGGTCTGTTACCAGTTTTGACCCTCCATAAAGTGTTGTTTTGATTGTTATATACCCGTGTATGTTTTATGTTGCTCTCCTAGATGTTTTTTTGTTCTTGTCTGTTTTACATTTCCATGTTCCATAAGTGGTGTAGAAAATGTGATACAGTGAGGATTTCACTCATTCTAATGGTGTTTGCTTGCAACAGAATGTGTTACTCAAGGAGAAAAGTAAAAGGAATGAGATCGACTCTTTTTCACTCAATAAAACAGAAATGTATTTTTTTTCTTGAAAAATGTGTTTATCTTCCTTGAGAAAACATTTAATCCAATTTTAGGAGTAAGAGGTAAGATTTGGATTCTGTTGGAAGCGGATTTCCTTTTTCTTGGAAGTGTTAATATTAAGAATATATTCAGTTTTTTCAGGATAATAATTATTGAGTAATTGTACGGGGTAAGGAGAAAATTATGGAATTGTGCAGGTAAATGATGTTATTCAGCGAGAATATCATTTGGGTGAATGTGGTGATTTTAGTTTCCCTGGACTATCCTCCACCCCCACCCCATATAACATTATAAATTTACAATTCAAAGGTGGTAAATGATAATTAATCATAAGGTGTGTACAATTATTCAGCCTCGTTTTTCTGAAAATATTTTCAACCCCTTCATACATGAAGGGAACAGAAAAGATTGTGAACTATGCTCTATTATTCTCTCTGCAGAAAGTATTTTATTTCCTTCCATTAGTTCCATATGATTCCTTGGTTTTTGGAATAGCATATTTTAGGCCAAGAACTTATGCTGTCACTCTGTGATGGTGGCCAATTGTTCTGATCCTATCTTCAACTTCTTCCTTTTTTAAATATATTCTCAGCCGGTTTGATATTAAAAAAAAACATCCCTGCAAATCCGTCAAGGCTTCATCTCCCAACTTTCAACTCTTCACTTCATCTGCAATCCAGTTTTCAGTATGATCACTCTTCCATATTGTTACATGATGGTGTTTATCTGCATGCCTTTTTTTTGCCTACTATAGAATTTTTTATGCGCCCTTTACTTTTTCCCATGTTCTTCGAGAACACTTTATTAGTTGATAGTTCTTAAAGTATGTATTGAGAGTGGGGGAAGGTCCCAAAGACTTATTTTGACTTCTATTTTTATCTGCATGTAAAGTTATTCAGGTAACTATTGCTTGCAACATACTTCGTATTCATCATCTCTATCTAACCTTCCTTTAAGGACCTTATGCATTTTTTTTTTACAATTTTCCGAAAAAAATAGGCTGAAGAACTTGAGTTGTGACCGAAATCGGTCTACCCAATTAATGCTCTGGCTCGATCCTTACCTGTAACCGTCTATCCTACATACAGCAAACGAATCACAAAACATGTGCACTGACTCTAGGCTTCCTAGGCCTAATTGACCTTAATATGATATATTACCTCAAACCCTTATCTTGCTTGTTGATTTCTCTGTCCATATTAGTTTTGTGTTGATTGCTTAAAAATGAATGATTGTGCAGATGCATTCTTTGATGGATAGAGCAGAAGCGGTGGCGAAGACAGTGCCGATAATAAAAGTTACAGATGAAGGGATGATGATGGCAAGTTGTCCTTTTTGTATGGAAGCTTTCCTCTCCCCACTGGTCCATGACCTGAGGATGTTGTTGTCTGCACACTTAGCAATGCACTCCCAGGATGTTGAGTTGGCCTGGGAAAGGATTCCAAACAAAGAAAGAGAAAAACCAGGGGGTTTTGGCATGACTTCCTTCTTGTTTGGAATTGCAGTAACTGCTGTACTTGGAGTCCTGACTGGCCGCCTCTCTAGATAGTAATTTTCGCCAGGGTTTTTACTGTCAAGTGATTTGATCTTCTGTGGGTATTTTAAATTTGCTCTGTGTTTTACTGATTTATTACTGCCCTTTAAAATACGAAGTATTGAGTATTCATCCTACTATTGTTGAACCGTAGAAAGTGATACGCACATTAAAAATTCAATTACATAATTTATATTGAATTTAGGCTAATGGGCCATATAGGCCCTTCAACTGACTTAAAGTGTTCAATTAGCCCCTTATATAGGAGGTTCTGCCCGGCCGTCGCCAATCAGGACAGTTCCCGGTGGAATTTTTTGATGACATTTTTTGAGCATCTTCTTAAGTCTAGTTTACTCATACCAAATTTCAGCTAAAAATTCAACCGGGAATGCAGTCAAATGATTTTTTGAAGATAACTTTGAAGTTAAACAACGCAGTACATTTCGGAAAATCATTTGACTGCCTTCCCGGTTGAATTTTTAACTAAAATTTAATATGGGTAAACTAGACTTAATGAAGAAGATACTCTTAAAATTTCATCACCGGGAACCACCCTAATTAGCGACGGCCGGGCAGAACCTTCAATATAAGGGGCTAATTGAACACTTTTAAGTCAGTTCAAGTGCTTATTTGACCGTTTAGCCTTGAATTTATATGAAAAAAACTAGGTGTACACCCTTTTGGTGTACAACTGTACACCTTTTGGGGCTTTTGTACACCCTTTATTTCTATTGGTGTACACACACAATTCATACCAAAAAATACAATTCACCTTTGAACAAAAGGTGTGCATAAAAGGGTGTATGCTAGGAATGATTCTAAAAATATAATTACATTGTATGAGGCAAACTTGGTATATAAACAAAAAGGACATTATGGGACATTGGGACAATTATAATAATCATCACGCAATGCTACATAACTTAAACAATAATAATCATCAACAGATAATAATTACGGAGTATATGTCAGGGAACACAGTAAAATTATACGGAGTAATACAAATACGTAGTATTTTTTTGAAAGGAACAAATATGTAGTATATTACTCCATTTGTTCTCAAAAAAAATTCTCTCACATTGACTTACACATATTTATTCAATTTTGAATTGTTCATTTAACTTTTCCAAAAGAAAGTTGAAGGTATTGTTTTCCCTAACATATTGCACATGCAATACCAAAGGAGTTCCCCTACTTCCTTTATTGACTAGGAAAGGCCAATAGGATGGAAGAAATGTCACACATGTATAAACATAAATTACAAAATTTGTGATTAGCAGCAGAGGGGATTGTCGCAGATATATGAATTGAATCCACAATTGCTTAATATGTTTATACGTTCATTAAGCATATAGCTGCCAGCAGAGGTTTTTTCCCAACATAAACATTAACAATCTATAAATCACTTGACTTGCTCCAAAAAAAATGTAAACAGCACCTCATTATAAAAAAGATCAAATACAATCTAAAAATATGATTAGGTGTGCCCCCCCAAATCAAGTTTTGTTTTGGGGGTAACCAAACATGCACACGATGAAGGTACAGGGCAGCACCTCTTAGAAACTCAGATGCGAGCTTCCCCACCAAACTATGATTCCCTAACAGAAGTATGTCGCTCTGTTCTAAGAAGATGGTGCAATGGTAAACAAAGGCTGCAGAATGGAAAAATAATAAGTTATATACATAAACGAAATTAGCTCAAACTAACTGGGAAGAAATGTGTGTGTGTGTGTGTGAGAGAGAGAGAGAGAAGCATACTGTGCCCAAACCGACAGGCTTGCCATCTTCAACAAGTATCTCAACTACAGTCCCAGAGTGATCCGCCTGCAAAAGGTAGAGATGGAAAAAGAATAAATAACATCAAGAATGCATGTTATTCTTGACCATATCCATGTTTTGTATATATGATGCTCAATGTTGTCCATAGAAAGCATAAGCTGAACTATTTATATAAGAGCCAGGGTTAGACACACACCTCAATTGTATTCATCAATTTCATTGCCTCAATGATGCAAAGCGTTTGCCCTTTACTGACCTTGTCTCCCACCTGGGAAACACACACATTTATTATTACTCTAGAATGACAATATTAATTTTTTTTAAAGGGTTTATGGAAAGCCAATGAAGGGGTGGGGTTGGGGGTTGGGAAGAGCAACTATGCTGCCTAGCCAAGATGTGGGGGTTAGTACTTAGTAGTGCATTGTAAAGCAATACAGTACATTGTGGGGGTCAGAGGAACAATACATGATACTCAAATGTAGAACGATGGCACCGTTTTGTAGCCTTCTCTGGCTGCTTATCACTATTAAGCACTACAAGAAGCTTTTGACTTATTTCGATGGAACAAATGCTTCAGAACGTTTTTTAAGAAAATTCAGAAGAGTCAATAATTTCACCCAAACATGCCCTATACCCATCTACCTTTTTTGTTTCCATGCTTGACTTTCTCCAGCCTCCCATAGTTGGAACTTGACCATTATATATAGAAACAAATCTAGCACAGGTTACTTGAACTTAGTTGTCGTTTGTTTTCAAGTATAGTGGTATTGTAATTTTGAGAACAAAAGTATAGCATGGGGACGCTAATTAGCAGTGGAGTAATAAAAAACTGTAGAATAGATGATTCAATAATTGTAAAAAGAAAAATCATTTTGGGTCTGACTACTATTAGGTTCCCACCTTTTCGTCCTCATTTGTTTTTTTATTTTCGGTGTACGACAATGAATTTCTTTCCACTTTCAGCTCTTTCCTGCCCCACTTATCCTGTTAAAACCAACCATACGAATATTGGCCGAGAAGGGGAACCTTGGCGTAGCGGTTACGGTGGTGTCGTGTGACAGAGAGGTCACGGGTTTAAGTCTTGCGAGCAGAGTCTTGTCAAAATGATAACGGAAGGTTTGCCTCTTATATACCCTTGTGGTGTGACCCTTTCTCGGACCCTTGCCGTGCAGGGACGCTGATGTGCACCAGGCTTCCGTTTCTTTCTTTTTTTACGAATATTGGCCACGTAAGCAATTAGAAGGACCGAGTTGACAAATAGAAGTCGAGCCGTCAGGGATAATTATGATGTTTTTACTTGGTCTGTTTTCAGACCCAAACCAGACCAGACCAGTTCAGACCAGACTTGGATAGTTATAAAATACTCAAGAGACCAGACATTACCCGACCAAATGCACAGAGATCAAACATTACCAGACCAGACCAGCAAATTCCAGTCCAAGTAAAAACATCCTTAGTGTGAATAGCCAAATAGCCATGGGACCAAAAGTAGAAAACTCTCCATACATAAATAGGAGCATGTTATTCATGGCCCAACCATAACTGAAATGAAAGCACTGTTAACCATCTACCTTCACAAAAGGGGCTTCCCCTGGAGCAGGTGAGCGATAAAATGTTCCAGACATCGGGCACTTAAATGAAGGATGAGACGACTTGGGCTTTGAAGGAGGTGGGAGTGCAGGTGCTGCCGCCGGCGCCTGAGCAGTGGGAGCAGGAGGTGGTTGTGGCTGAACAGGGGCCTGCTGGACAGCTGGCTGTTGCCAAACAACAGGAGCAGCAGAAGCTGCTATCTGCTGCTGCTGAGGCAATGCTTCCTTCTTCCTTATAATAATCTCATAGTCATGCTGCTTTAGCTGCAGCTCCACAATATCTCTCGAGTCCACAAGCCTAGGCAGCATTTCAGGATATTAAATAAAAAACGTTAAACATCCTCGAAAACACTGGATTAGACAGTTGGTTATGCAAATTTATTAAATTGTGCTTACTCAACAAGATGGGCTGCTTGAGACATAAAGGCTGAAATTGAGGAAGCACTTGGGATGGCCTCCTCGATTTTGGGGATTTCTTCATCCTTTTCCTCTATAACTGGTTTGGAATTTGTAGTTACTTCAATGGTAGACACCTTAGTATTTGAGAAAAACAGCATTATAAGTTTTAAGTGCAAGAGAAAGTTTGTCTTATGCCATTTCCCCCAGTTTGGTGGTAGGTGAAATGGCTGAATGGGATGAACTAAGTGATTTGATTGAAATGAGTATTGGATGTGCAATTACCTAAAAGGATATGTAGTAATATGTATACGGGGAAAATCAATTAAAAAGATGACATAATTGGCATTTCATTGTAAATATAAGAATCAAGCTAAAAAGTAGTATTGAGAGCCCGTTTGGTAACACTATAAGTCTATAACTGGCTACATTTTCTGAAATTGCTAAAGTTGTGGGCTGAAATAGCAGAATCTTCTGGAGTTTAAAATATTTACATTTGAAATATATATGATATTTTCAATTTCAGTATTTGGATTGTTCCACAATTTAGCTCACAATAAATAATACTCCGCAATAAAAAAATACTCCGTAGTGTTTAGTGAAACTCTGGCTGGTAAGGGGCTAAGCCAAAGTATGGGTTACCAAAATGGTACTATATCACCTTTTTGGCTGACAAGCATAATCAGCCAGAACGGTATGCCCAAAAAGATTCATGGAAGGATGATCACATTTCAAGAGAAATAAGTTGGCAGCTCCGAGATTATAACTTTAAAACGGTATTTTCATCAAATTCATAGCATTTCCAATGAAACTTCCCCTCTAAACCATATCTTAATTTACAACATTTCTAAGTTATGTTATTAGTTTCTTAACATGAAAACTTAGAAGTTAGAACCCTTGTGGTATACCCATTTTTTTTAAGTTTAACGATCCTTGTCAGTCATCTTTAATTCAGCAAATATTTTTGCTGAATTAGCGGAAGAGGAGATTTTACCTTATTTTTCCCAGTTTCCCCTATACCTTCTTTCAGCTACAACTTCACCAACTTTAGATACTTAGACGATTCAGCTAATTACCATGTTATGCTACGGGCTCTTAATATGAAATGAGGCAACTTACACATTGTTTTAAATAAAAAGAAGCTCAGTTACCTCACTGCTCTGTGCGAGGACCTTAAAACCACCCTGCATCTTAATTCAAAAAAAAGACTAAAACGATCAATATTTCTCTCCAATCAGAACCATTCAGCTTCAGTACCAGATTACTTGAACCAGAAAGGGAAACAAACCTGGAGTCGATGGAGCAATGCGGGACCGGATCTCGAACCAGATCGGAAAGAAACGGACTTCTGGTGGGGAACAAGCGGGCGGTTACCGACGGGCGATGCGCCGCCCAACAAAGTGGCGGTTTTGGCAGCATGGAGATTGAAATTGGAAGCCATCGACAGAGATATCAACCAAAAACCCAAACACAGCAACGGATTTGGGGATTTGGAGATGAGGCGGAGCTGAAGCTTGCGAGACAAATCGAGAAATGCAGAAGTATGTAAGAGTCAACCACTCTACAGAAGGAAGCGGAGGCGATGCTAACGAGGAAGGAGAACAGAGGATGGATATATCAGTGTGAAACAACGGTAGGGTCAGTTGTTCATAGGGCTTGGCTGGACAAGTGTACAACCTTCCCAACTGCTTCTGGTTTCATTTATAAAAACAATGACAAATGATTGATTTTTTTTTCATTTAGTAAAAGTACAATTCACTACAAATTTTGTTAAAACTGATTAATCTTTGGATAGTTTATTAAAAAAATTAACTTTCTGAAATCTGAAAAAATCTTATTTAAAATTTACTTTACTACTCCGTATTAAAATTAAGAAAAAGTATATGAAATATGATTAAAATAATTGTATTCAACAATTTCAATCAATTCAATCATAGAAATAATTCTAATTTTACATAATTCAATGTGTGAAATTAAAAAGTTAAGTGTTTTGACAAAAAAAATAACTCATAAAATAGATATTATCAGATAGGCTCTTATTTTAATTATTATACTCCATAAATTTTAGCGCGTAAAATCAAAAGTTTAATACTTCATCCGTTCTCTTTTAATTGCAACAGTCAACATTTCACGTTTACCAACGTACAAGTTTGACCATCAATATCTTTCATTTTTTATTAGTAAAAAAATTAAAAAATTCATAAGTTGAAAATTTAGAATGAGAAGGATTTAACAATATTTTTTAAAAATTTATTTTATAATACATTAATAAATAAAATGTAGTCAAGGTAGAATATGTGAATAGTTCAAAAAGTTCAATGTTGCAATTAAAAGAGTGTCACGCCCCAGACCGCATCCGAGCGCATGTACAACCGCCGTATGACTAAATGACGTCACTGGCAATTCAACGTGACTTAATCATACAAGGCGTCAATGAACATTGTTCATACCGTACTCAGTAAGTAAACATACATAACAACATCACATATTTGGATTGAACGAATCGCGGAAATATTCAATATTCAACCATGGGCCACATATGGCCAAAACGTGGACTCGCAGGCCCAAAACAAATGTACTTATTACAAAATATCCATGAGCATAGTTTATAGTTTAAAACAGTAAAGGAAGCACGAACCACGTCTCCCTTTAGATCACTTCACCGAGCAAGGTGAGAATCGCAAGCTTGAGCTTCAACCTGAAATGGTGGGGCCCCCCGAAGGGGTCAGTACAAGTACCGAGCGAGTAGCAGGCTAAATGTAGAATAACTAACGTTTCAAGTACAAGACCCAAACATAGGGTGATACATACGCGTATAGTTCTTTTCCCCAAGTTACAAAATACATGTCAATATATATACACTTGGAAATACCTGACCCGTAGGTCATTGTTTATTTGGGAAAATAATATAGTCAATATCCTTGACTTAAACCCCAACCCACCCATATACCTATGAGTGTATAGAACTCCTCCTGGTTCAAATCATCTTAACTTGAGGACATCGCCCGGTCCTAAGTTACAAAATAGTAATCTATGAGTTTTGAGGATACACGCCCGATCCTTGGGTACTCCACCCTATATAACCGAGTTTTGAGGATACACGTCTGATCCTTGAGTACTCCACCCTAATACCGAGTTTTGAGGATACACGCCCGATCCTTGGGTACTCCACCCTAATACCGAGGTTTGAGGATACACGCCCGATCCTTGGGTACTCCACCCGACTTATGATCTACCACATATCATCCTAGATAAGGTCTATATCATAATCAATAATCAAGACTAAACCAAGTCTTAAGGCCTAAGCATAATCATCTATGCAATTCATGCATTAAAAATCAACATATAGGCAAAACAGTGCCAAACCGGCGCCGGTTTTGGCATAACCGGCGCCGGTTATTAATTAAATTAATTAAACCGGCCATGCCGAACCATAACCGGCGCCGGTTATTAATTAAATTAATTAAACTGGCCATGCCGAACCATAACCGGCGCCGGTTTTGCCTATAACCGGCGCCGGTTACCCCCTGGGCAACCTAGTCAACATTTTCGTTGACTCGTCATTTCAAACCCGATTTGCGTCAAACTTAATCCCAACGTTTATTAAGTTATAACCAATCATTTTATACCATGTTTATCCTTTAAAACATCATATAAGTTTTTATAAACATTTCCTTATCATACATCATTTATGATAGTAGTGGTTCATTCCATATAAGCCCAATCACTTTGGCTAATTACATGTTTAAGCATCCTTTAAACATCATAATGAACACATATAACATTTACTTAGGTAATCTCATACTTAACCCAAGAGTTATAAGACATTAAGCCGTCCACTCACCTCGAATGAGCGTGATGAAGTTCTACCCTTCTCGGTTGAACTCCGGCCAAACTCCGGCGAACTTTGACGAACTCCGACGATAACTCCGGCGACTCCTTAAACTTTGTGAAAGCTCTTAAATCACCTTTTACAAGTTCCTGACAAGATTTTATTATCACAAAACCCATATCAATACAAATAACCTTTAAAAGGTTATTTTCCGGCTAACCGGTCGTTTTGGCTCCTATGTCCGTTCTTGGACATAGAACCACCTCTCAACCCTTATTTCTACATTTATAAATATGTAGAGCTACTAAAAGGGTTCCTTACATGCTATGTAAGTCATATGGTAGTTAAAGAATAGAGGAACAACTAATACGAAGTCATTACCTTAATCACCACACTTTTTCTTCCCTTTTTCCTCTCCTAAACTTCTCCCTTTTTCTTGTTGGAGCTTGAGCTCGAGTTGGCTATGGAAGGTGAGGGTTCAGAGATCCTTCTCCTTCTTTCCTTGGTGCTGGACGAGTACAATGAGTGGGAGAGGAGGGAGGATAGTGTTTTTGTCTTTGTTTGGCAAATGGTTGAGGTTGTGGGTCCATTAGGTGTCAAAATGGTCTCTCCCATCCCCTCAATGGCTTTCAGCCACATTTGCTCTCAAACCAGCCTCCAAGAGCTGGAAATTTCGTGGGTTGGCCCCCACTTTTTGTCCAGAAGTGTACAATCGGTCCCGAAAGTTGTATTTTTCGGACTGTTTTAAATATATTTTATTTTATCGGGTCAAATAAAATGTATATTATGTTACCACTCATTACGGGCCTTTATAATGAGTATAATTTCCCCAACTCCAATTTGGAAGTCTCCGAAATTCATTTCAGACTGTTATCCAATAAATTATCCAAAACTGGTAATTGGTCCTCGTTTGACCAATCGGTCAACCCAATGCCTTTTGTTATGGCCCAAAATGAATGTCCACCACCATATAACTATTATCTATACCAAGATGAATAAAATATGCGGTCTCGGGAATATCGGGTGGCCCCCGCTCCCGGTGTGGGCCCCACGTGCAATTTACTACTCACGCAAAAGAATTAACAAAACTTTACAACCTCGTAAATTCATTAACCATTTCATAAGGTTTAATACATAATTTACACCAAAGTAATTATACTTGGGAACGGTGTTACAAAGAGAACGGAGGTAGTAAGTGTAATATAAGGGATACGTACTCACTAGCTTTTAAAACAAGGAGAACATTGAAATGTGAAAATTCTAAAAATGAGAGCACTACATTTCCCCTCTACAGTAGTGTGTTACTGTCATCCTCGAATTTTACTATAGTTTTTTTGCATTGCTTTAAATATGACAGTATGTTGTCATAAGTGACAGCCATTTTCCAATCTTGATAGTCTTATTCTCCAAAACAATGGTTTCCTATATATATCATTACCAACAAATTTTAATCCTGTTAAAAACATCTTATTCAAGTCGATTTGGGTATCATCTACTATGAATAGACTATATACCATTATTGTTGAACATACCACCTCAAATAAGTCACATTAATTGCCAAAAAATGACCAACTAAAAGATCACAATTTAGGTTCATCCAAATAGTCACTTTCCCTTTTTAATCACTTCAACCCATTTGGTAAAGAGTCCTGCTTGGGGTATCCAAATTTGTACACCGTTTGTGTACACAGGCATTTGGACAGAAAGTTCTGCCCTCTTTAAAACGAACTGCCTGTGTACACAGACAATTATGGAAGGGTACAAAATGAGTTACATTTTGGGGTAACTATAGAATTTTTGTTTGGTAAATCCTCCTCCATTGTAAGTTTGTCCAGCCTCATATATGAGCGAAAGCACAAGTTAAGGGGGCATGAACTCGTATACACGTTTAAAATATCAATTGTTGACAATGCATTTGATTTCTGTTTTCAGCTTCCAATGTGATATATTCTCAATTAAAAATCGTGAAATCTTGGTGAGTCAATTGGTGGTCGGTGTAAAATATTGGCAATTGGTGATCGGTGTAAAATATTTGTGACTTAATTTACTATTCTGGACCATAATTTTGAGATTTGGGTAAGTGATCGTGTTGACTGTTGAGATGATGATTGATAACAAAACATTAGGGCAAAAGTTGGATGGAAAGATGTGATAATTAATTTAGGTTAGGCCGTGTTGGACCGTTGGCTAGTGCATCCAACAATTTCGGTGAATTTTATTATGAGTAAAAGGTCACGTCTTAAAAGTTGCATAAAAGAGATCAAATAAGTCTTTATATAGGAGGTTCTATCCGACCGTCAACATTTGGGGCGGTTTCCTGTGGAATTTGTTGATGAAATCGTTTTAACATCTTATTCATTAAGTCTAGTTCACTCATACCAAATTTTGGATAAAAATTCAACCGGGAAGACATTCAAATGAATTCTTGAAGATAATTGTGCAGTTAAAAACACAGTTATCTTCAAGAATTCATTTGAATGCCTTCCCCATTGAATTTTTAGTTGAAATTTGGTATGAGTAAACTAGACTTAATAAATAAGATTATCAAAAAAAAATTATCAAAAAATTCCACCGGGAACCGCCTCAAATGGCACATCCGGACAGAATCTTCTATATAAGAACTTATTTGACCACTTTTATGCAACTTCGAGTACTAAACTGACCCTTTACTCATTTTATTATGTTTGGAGAACTGGTATATTTTTAGTTTAACTCATTTCAATGTCAGATCAAATCATATCATATCATATCATATCATATCATATCATATCATATTTAAATAGATCATACTTGATTAGAACAAATTTAATTGATCAGATCAGATTAGAGTAATAAGACTTGAATTTGACAATT